CTCTGTCAATATAATTGCTCATATCAATCTTTGAAACTTATCTCAAACAGCTGTGGTGAAATAGCCCTGACATGACCTCTCTAGAGGTGTGATCTTGTCCTCTTAAGATATAAGACAGAGTTTCTGTTCAGTGTAATTCTGCAATTATGGCTCCAGGTATTGATTTGTCTCTTCATGTTGAAGACTGAGTGAAAGCAGAAGGAAATCAATCTTCCTGCACACTGTGTTCTTTATATTTTATCTAAAATTAAGAGGTGTAGTGTTTTCTGGGGTTTGTTTTTTTTTTTTTTGAGATATGTGTAATTAAGCTTTGGAAAAGAATAGTGCTTATGCAAAAACATCAATAAGAATTATATGGTATGTGTAAAACAAAACAGTGCATCAGAATTAAATTCTATCTGCTTTATATTTATCATAGTGTGTATATATAGAATGTGACTTTCAATACTTGACCTAAAGATACTAACCTTTACTAGATTGTGTATGTCTATTGTGTGTGTTTATTTCAAAGTTAATAATTAGCTACTTATATTTAGGCACTTATAAGAAAAAAATTCAGTAATGTTTTCAGGATCAAGCCTACTGTTATATCAGAAGTTTGCTCTTGTGTAATATTTACTCTTCAATATCAAAGGATACTTGGAGAAACAGGAAAAGAAATATATACGTCAGTATTACTTTTGTGATGTGCGGCATGTAATCGCGAATTCTCATAGTGCAGACACCACTGTAGGTGCTTAACTTAACAGAACATGAGAGGACTGAAAGGCTGAGGTTCATGCCCATAGTTAGAGCTTTCTGGTAGTAAATTTCCATCTCTATTTTTAAATCATATCCTTGTAGTAATGTTAGGGCTTTGCTGTGAAAATGCTGCAATTACTTTGCATGGGTCCGGAGTCGAGAAAGAAAAGCAGAAGATGTGAATCTTTTGTGTGGCAAGCTTTGCAGCCCAGTGTGGTGGCAGCAGGGCAATAGGGCCAGAATGGGTAATGGGAATAAAATATAGCACCAGAAAATCTGCTGTTAATATTCAGCTACACATGCAGAGGGAAATAAAGCTCTTGGAATTCCTTGGCACTCTAACTTTCACAGAGCAAAGCAACTTATAGGGTGTTTTTTCTGACCTGTGCAACACCTTCCATTATGTGGCAGTATACCGACATTATTTTTAAATTGAACTTAGCATTTTGTCATAAAAAGTTTCCCACTGTATTTGAAAAATACTCTTAAGTTTATAAAACTTGAAGTGCTATTTTCTTTACTAATGCTCCAGCCTTTTTAATACATCTTTAGGGATGAATAGTTCATCCACTCAATTGCCCAACAAATCAATGAGGTTCAAAGAACAAAACTGAGTAGTTTATATATCCCACAACTATTGCAAAATGATGCACTTTGGATTGGAAAGTATGTTTGCAGAACCTCATGACTATTTTTTAGGAATATTATACCTGAAAACAAGTCATGTGGAGATTCTGTTAAATAAATACATGGGTTTAGCATATTAATAGTTTGAAATATTATATATATCTCCTCTATGAAATTTTCAGGGAGTCTGATGTTCAATGTTAAATGACAGTCTGTGTAAATATATGTTCTGACACATCTTGCTACCCAGAGAAAGTGTAGAGGACTTCACAAAACAGATTACCTGATTCTACTTTTCAAGTGGGAGAAAGAAGGGAACTGCACAGGAGGGGCTATGAAGCCGTAGGCTAGCTATATAACTCCGTCCAGTGACTACTGGCAGAAGTGCAGTAACTATGGACATCAATTCAGGAAGTGTGTTAAAGTTGAGGCTTGCTGTCTTTTTATTACAAATAGCACATATAACAAGCATTGAACTAGGAAATCAAAGAAATAATTAGTATGTCTGATGATGAATATATTAGCTGCTATTTTTAGTGTTAGCAGTTTACAAAGAGGAAGAACATGATTTTGCCTTTAAATTAGTAAGAACTGATTTTACTTCGGCTTTCCACATGTCTGTATTTATCAAGGGGCCTAATGAGTGTCTTCCTACCTAGCATAGGTATGATGACTTAAGCACCTCACAGAATCTAGGAGTATAATATTACAGGCCACTACTAATGGGTACAGCACCATCAGTGCTAGTAAAGAACACAACACAAATGCCTACAAAATCAAACTTTGAACACATATTGGAATTTCTATTAACACTTTTTTAGAATATGAACGGCCAGGATGTGAAGATAAATGTATTAATAAATACTAAAGAGTATGTTCATAGTCTGTGCCGAATCAAGGCTTCACAGGTCAAAGCCTGTGCGGATCAAACAACTGTCATCAACTAATCTGTAATACACACTTTTATGTGGCTAGGAGAGAACAGGTTGTCATCATGCTGTGAAGTGTCTGCAGTGTTCCTGCACTAGCAGTGTGCCTTTGGTAAGCTCTTCTCACCACACCTACTGATGATTGGTTTGGACTGTAATGTGAAACTTGGCTCTTTTACCTGAAACTTAAATAATTGTGTGTGTTATGGACCATGTGTCTGAGTTTATAACGTTCCTGTGCAAGATACTATTTGATCTTATATGTATATATATATAAATGTATGTGTATGAAGATTTTCAGGTTATGTCTACACTGCCCTTCGGAAGTGTTAGCTCAGTAGGTTCATGTTTCATGTTCTGCAGCAACGTACCTTTGAAGCATCTGCATTGACAAATGAGATTAGGTGTTTTTGTCAAAAAAAAAAGTCTTGATTCTACACTTAGAAGTTAATGTAACTTAAAGTTAACATATTTAATCAAATACACTTCACAAACACAAGGTGCGTTTCTCTTTCGTTTCTGTACTGTTTGATTGATTTATTTATTTATTCCCAAGAAGAGCCTTTTAAAAAGGCTTGAAGCAACAGTGAATGATTCAAGAAAACTAGTCAGAACAACTACTTGAAAAAAAGTTGTGGCATGAAATTTGAATCTAAAATGTAGCTAATTCCCCTGCAAGGAATAAAAGTGTTCATGCATTCAGAGAAAAGCTAATTATCCTGCATGAATTTAAAATTCTGCGGGGTATTTTTCAACCCAGAAACTTTCCCACTTACCTCCCTTTAAATGGTTTAGTACAGTATTTTTCTGTGAAAGAGCAATGTGAAATACACTTATAGTAACGCATTTTGAAGGACTGTGATGCATCACTGGTATTTAAAAATTCTATGCCTCTTATTGCTCATTCTATGGAATTTCTATGGAAATATGTTGGAAAACTTAACAGATGTGAAAATGATTGTGTCAGTTATTTAAAAAAAAATGCTACACCCATTTTTCTCTCTGAAGTTCTGTTTTTTTCCAAGTGCTATGAAAGTCTCTCTTTCTGTAGCGAAGAAAGAAGAAAAATCTGGTTTCATTCCCTGGATCTTTATCCTTCCTCCCATGCTATGAAAACATCTGCTTTACTCCAAAATTCCTCTCAGCTTATGAAACCTAGAAGGGAAGAGCTCTGCTTTCTGAAGCAAACACAATTGATGATCTATCAGAGGACATATGGTATGACAGGAAGCCAACTTAAGTAATGACAAAAAAAAGTCTTAAGTACTTAAGTTTGTCAGTTTTGATAGATGAATATGTAAAAGTAAAGGTTGCAAAGTTGCAGCTGGCTTTCTACTGCAGTAAATGACAATACCTACTTGCCTTTCACAGAAGAAGCTTGGAACTGTTGCCTCTGAAATCAGTGTTCAAAGTAACTTTTAAAAATATACTCATTGCTCATAACCACAGCGGGAATGATTAATAGCTTTTAAGAAATACAGAAGTCTTTACTCAAGTTTTTAGTCAAATTCAAGTCATTGTGCATTTTCACTAACTTAGCCCATGGTAAATAGTAGGCACCAATAATTTTGGTCACATATAAATAAAAGAACACTTATACAATAGTGAGTGATGAAAATTATGCGTCTGACCCAGGGATGGCAATTTAACAGATTAAAAACAAAACAAAAAACCATGCACATCCCTCATAGGGTTGGATATTTGTTTGACACATACTAGCACTGATTTAAAGAGCAAGCGATCTTCAGTTTCCACAGTTTAGTGGAAGACAGGATTTAAAAACTATGCTGCTTCTAGGAGAAGGAAATAAGGGGACATTAAGAAATCCCCTCATCAAACTCCCTAACCCAATCAAAAAAAATAAAAAGGGAGGTTTCACTGAAGAAAAGTATGAATGAAAAATTGTGTGGATGTCAATACTACAAATCTGTTAAAGCCCTGTAGAATATTTTGTGGGCTTGAAATATATTGAATATCTTGTTAAAACTGATTTCAAATTCAAGCAGCTCTTTAATTTGTTACTGTTCTGCTCTTGAATACTCACTCTACTGGTTATACTAAGGAAAAAGATGCTTTAAGAAATGTTTAAAAATTAAGGTTTATGGAGAAATTTAACTTATCTAAAAATATAAAATGTGATACTTGAACTAGCAAATCTATTCAAGTGTTTTTGAATTACTAAAATAAGAATGTCTTTGTGATGCCTCAGGAGCCAAGAATGATTCATTCCTCACTATGTATAGTCTTGTCCTAAAGAGATGAGATAACTCAAACAGGTTCTCAATTTTCATTTTTTATAAGACAAGGACCATTACACTGTATCTCCAATTAGTAAGGAAAGGAAATTACCAGCTGTAACTGTGGTGCTCGGTGACCTAGCTAAAAGAATGATAAGAACCAATGCAATCCCCACCGAAGTTACTGGAGTAAGACTGTGTATGGTATAAAATATTTTTATTCCACTGACAGAACTGTAGTGCCAGAAGCATAAAGAACACAGGTTTACCCTTATTCTGACTCAATATTCACAAGTATGTTTTAGCAAATAAAAATTCCAGTAATTACAGGTATTACCTTTAAGTTACTGAGGGAAAACACTCCTCAAATAACAGTTACGTTGCTGGATCGAAGAACTTTTGTTACTGCTAGAACAAAGGGGAAAATGAAAATGCTCTGTTATGTGCTGCTTGTAAAATAATCTGGCTCAAATAACCTGGTAAAAATAAAGATTTATTAGACCTATTCATAATAAATGTTTCATTTTTCAGTAACACAGATTTGCCTATCATTATAATTTACTAACTTTGCTAAGATCACTAACTTTCACTGTTGATGTGTTCAGATGCTGTTTTTTGTCTCTTAGGTAGCTGACTATTTTCAGTACATTAAAAACGCAACAATCAAGTCTCGCTCATTGAAATGCTTAGACAAAAATACTCAGTGTTCAAGATTACTTACAACTTTGTATATTTTATTAACCAAAATACAATATGAAGAGAAATAAATTACAAACATTGAAACGACATGGTGATAGTAACCTGTTCAATGAATGAACTACAACAAAATATTAAACATTTATAACAAAAATCAGTCCCCAAAATCAAAATATTTCAGTTTGAACTTAATGTAAATCCATTCTGTCTCCTTCTAGGAAAATCATTATTTTGTATATGTTACTAATACGAAACCATTCACTCAAGTCCCTGTTAAATTACAGTTCAATTGGGAAGTTCTGAAAGGTCAACCAACATTTCAAACCAGAAGTAATTCTATAACGAAAAACAATTATTTTGTTTTACATTAAAAATCATGATACCATTATCACAGAGTAAATCAGGTGCGTGCCTTAGTGAGAAGATGTGGTGAACAAAAGCATGGAAAATAACACAGACGTTTTTGTAACAGTGAGTAGACTGAACAAGCCCAGTGATCACATGCTTCCTACACAATTTAGAGAAAAACAAACTTATGCTGAATTTTGATTTTGCTGATTTAGAATATAGATTACGACAAAACATATCAAGCAATGACTTAGTGTGAGAGTAACCTTAGTGTTAGGTCTCTAAAAGGTAAGAACTGCAATCTGAAATAAAAACAAAGGGCTTAGTTCTGCAAAGTGAGAATTTTTGCATAATCATGTTGGTATCAAGGAAAGGAAGAAAGTGCTTAGCAACTCGCAGCATGGCATCGCGGTCAAGTACCAAAACTTTCACAAACTATTATTTTAACATATTATATTATTTTCATGAGGCCTGAGCTTCACTGTGCTCTAAGGTAAATGAATTCCTGATTCTGAGTGCCATTTTGAGCTCTGAACAAATCAAACAAGACAGTCATCTAAAAACACAAAGTTATATTTCTGTCTGAAAATGTGTTATCCAACAATATAAGTAATGTGAAAACCATTAATATTTTCCCTCTTTTTCGTTGTCTTTGCGTGTGTGACAATGTTTCATGTAATGGTTTTTGTGTGGGTGCAAGTTCATCATCTCCCTCACACAAAAACAGAGAGTACAACAGGAAACTGTTGTAGTAAAACCATAGTATAGCCAGCACATCACTGGAACATACTTTAAATTCAAATCTCACCCACCTTAGAAAAAGGTCATGACGTTTTTCTTTTTAATCAATCAGCTTAATATGACTAAAACTCTACTCACACAGACATTATTCAGTATCTTTCCAAAGATTTTAGTAGGCTGCTCCGTACAGTGGGCAAGTTCTTAAAATTGACCTAAAGACTTCACCCTGTTCTGAGAAGCTGACACGGGGTGTAAAGGAAATATATGAGACTTAGTCCATGACCGTCAGTTTCCCTTTCATAACTATCCTGAAAAAGGAGGCTGCTGCTGAGCAATGTTTTGCTCAGTCCTGCTCCATGCACAGGACTAGGCTACTGACGAAACAACCTCTTTGGAGAATTTTCTTCTGGAGGTTAAGGGGAGGAGTCATTAAAAGATTTCTTAATGAAATTAAGCCAGCTTCCCTAAAGGTGAAGGAATGCAGAACGTCTTTTTTTCTGAGGAGGGCAAGACTGAAAAGATTGAACATTTGTTTCCCAGGGAGAGTTATGACACCGGGAAATAAAGTGCTGGATACATCTAAAAATATCTGCCCTGAGTTCAAGCTGAAGAAAAATTATTTCAGAGTACAGTGACTGAAAAATTATTTTTTCACTCTTGCACTGAATAAACCTGAAACATTTGGAAAGAAAATTCTTAAGAACACACATAACTTTTCTAATTAGCAGCATGGGTTTTCCAGTGCAAAGATGTCTGAACTGTGCCCAGCCAAAGGCTAATAGGCATCTTACCAGACTCAAAAAAAACACACATTGAATCAGCAACAGCATGGAACACACTGCCCCCACCTTCCTCTAGACCAGTAGTGCTATGATGCAATGCTCCCTCATGCTCTATGAAGCTCATGTTTGGGTTGAGATGCTGTACCCAGCTGCTTGGATTTGTATTCTCTACATCAGCACATCTACCTCCTCAGCACCGCAGAAAAGAAGGTGCTGGTCAGTTACCCTTCGCTCACACCTTGCCCTTACCCTTCGCTCACACCTTGCCCCTTCAAGAAACCATGTTGCTCAGTGAAATGTGCTTCTCTGGGCTTCTCCTGGCAGGCCTAGCAGTCTGAATCTCTCTGCTGGAGGAGTGGCAAAGTAGGCTTTCTGCTCCTCTGAGTACCTTTCCTTCACTTCAATTATGTCCCTGTAGCGCCAGTCCTGCCAGTGGAAATTGAACTGCTCCAGCAACTCAATTCTTTTCTCCTCTGTGCTCACACAGTCAGTGGGGGCAGTCTGTTCCAGTAACGGCACCTGAATATCTGGGAATAGGAGGAGAGCCCGGATAGCAAACCAGCCGCCATACTTGGGATGGATGCATACACCATAGATCTTCTGGAAAGACAAAAAAAGGGGCGCTAGGACATCTCATTTTGTCTTTACTAATGATGAGAGTTCAAACCATTATTCTGAGCTTTGATGTAATTTCTCACACCCCTAGTCCACTGTTGGAATGCTCTACAAGCAAGGAAGGAAAGCACTTTCCTGACCATGTGGCTCGAAGCATTTCATTTGATTCCCATTTTCCTGTGCCCACACAGGCTACGCTGTAATGTGGGGAGAAGTTTCTTTCTGAAAGTCTAACATAGAAATAAACAACAGCGCAAGCTGTGTTCTGTATATAAGCAGGTCTTCTTTTACACCGACATTTATTCTCTTACCTAGTAAGTTTAATAGATCAAGATATTCTTCTCCATTCGCTCATCTCCCTTCCACCCCAAAGAATCTAGGAAGTTTCTGACTACTGCCTTAAACACTTTATGTAGCTATTATGTAATCTGGACTTCTTATTTCCCTGCAGGAAGAACTAGTGAGTAAACAACAGTTGCACAATTCAGTGATTGCAATTTGATGGCTCTTCAAGGATTCCCAGATTGTGTTTTGTCTCACCTTTTTACCCCAAGGATCAAGCTTCACATCCTTCCTCTGGTAGTAATAGGCTGCTCCTGCAACATGGGCAGCTGTCTGTGCCAAGAACTTGGGCTTTCGGTTTGGCAGGATCTCGTAATCACAGATGATGTCCACCTTCTGGTCGGGGAATTTCTGTGGTGGGGGGAAAAACTATCAACCCAGACTCACGAAAAAATTACGTGCCACTAGAGAAGTGCTGGATACTAGCAAATCACACTCGTGGGAAGTAAGCCTGCAGATTTCCACATCCTGCTCCTGAAATTTCCTATTGGTAATCTTGCCTTGGATTTTCAAACTCTTGACTATAAAGCACCCTGCACAGGTATAGGCTGTAATGACAAAGAGACAGAATAGGCAGGTCAACAGCCTGTTGATGCTCGTAGTAAGAACTTAGCATCATGAATAGAGCTTTAACCCTTTTAAAGAACAAGGACAGGAACTGGGAGGACTCTGTCTCTTGCTCAAGCCACCTGCTTATATGCCACAATAGTAAAAGGAGTCAGTATTTCAAGACTCTTACCTCCTTCACACATGATAAGTGATGAGAAATACACTGGTCCACAGGATCCCTGATTATTTTTAACCGTTCTTTGTTCACAAAAGGCTTAAGGGCTTTGTCAAACATTGAAGGCGTGCTCAGGACAACAAAGGCCAGTGTGTCATCTGGGTATGGGAGATGAAAGGCTGGCTGGAGAACATCATTGTACCATCCAACCTTCGGCAAAGAGACAAAGAGAAACAAATCTCCATTAAAACAGGGTGACCACTCTTTTGCCAGTGGGCATGCAGCAACTATAAAAAAAAAAAAAAAAAAAGGCGGAAAGCAGTGTATCCACCTTCATTTGCAACCCAGATATGCAGCCTGCCTAGTGTCTTCCATTCAAACCAAGTAGCTTTGCATACTGGGATTTACAGTTTCTGGAAGCTGTACCTTGATGTGAGAGATAAGGACTATCTACTGCATTCAGCTGAAGACTGCCCTTTATCCGGCTTTGCCCAGAAACCATAGACAGAAGTATCAGCATCGAATCTTGCCAATGCAGATCCGATATTTTGGTTTAGAGAAAGCTTTTACAGTTCTGTCTGCTTCTCACTTGGATTGTTATTTAGACAAGGTTCCTACTGCTTATACTACATCTTAGTAGGATTTGGCCAGCCCACAGCCCTTCTGTCGCCTTGAAAGCTCTGTCATTTGTTTTTAACTTAACTTTCACAGCAAATACCAGTTGTGCCAGCAGATGCAAACAGATTCATTATGAATTTAAATCAAATGCCCCTGCCTGTACCAAAAACAAACAAACACACACACACCCTCACAGAAGATATAGCCCAGAAAAGCAGACTTCTCTGTGGATAGCCACCTTTCCAGAAGAGCTTAAAGGGCTTTTAACTGCAGGACACGACATGGGCAATAAGCCATGGAAATATGGCTTATTATTAATTAAAAATAAACCGTGGGAATATGGCTTATTATTAATTAAAGTCAAGAGCAGAAACATCCAAAGTCCTTTTCTCCCTAAAGCCAGTTTACTGTAGTGAAATGGTATAAGTCAAAATCAGATGTGTCACGTACAGGAGGGGCATCCAATTGCCAGTCTTGCTAACACAGCAGAAAGCTGAAGACCAACACGCTCTGAAATTTTTCTCCCATCCAGGTCAAGATTTTCTAGGCGATCCCATTGACTCTCAAGTCATTCCTGGCACGGTACTGTTCTCTGGAGTTCTACAATTAAGAGGGATGCCCGTATTAGTCCAAATAACCTCTGTCCCAATGCTGTTCTACTTTTGTTCCTTTTTTTCCCCTCTGTTGTTTAGTTGATCCCTATGTTCTTGTGATGGCTCTCTTTAGTTGGAAAAAGGCTGACACTTTGTGTTTTTTCTTTATTTTTGTTTAAACAAGACAATGCCATTCTGCTTCAGCCAGAAAGAAAATGGTGCTTCTGTTTTG